CTACCACTCTACCACGACTACCACTAGTAGTAGTGGTAGTAGTAGTAGTAGTAGTAGTAGTAGTAATAGTAGTGCTGTTTTCAACACTGATGAATACAGCTACCGTGATTAGTATTATGCATACTCCGGCTGTTCTCGATGTTACTGCAGCAGCCGCTCCTTTCATTTTTTGGAGCTGTTACTGCCATCAGTGCCATGGCAGGGTCGTGCAATAGCAACTGCGAGTTTCACGATCATCATTCGTGCTTGTTGCAGTACTGTCAGCAGTGGTAGTGCAGTTGTTGTTTTTGCCGTTTACTTGCATTGGTGCTGACCACCGAGACCGCGACAGCGAGAATTATACTCTTACACCACTTACACCCATGACCGTGATACGTATGACTCATGACCACTGCTGCCAGTAGGGTGGCAGTACCCACAGACATTATTCTAAAGAATGCTTTCTATCTGGAACTACCACTACCGAGGCACCTCTTCCCCGAGGGCCGAATTATCGACTTGGAGCGTGGCAAGACGCTGGGAGGAAGTAGCACCATCAACTACAACATGCCTCGCGGCTGCCTGGATTTTGATGCTAACGTGGATCGTGATGAGCGACGACGAGTGATGATGACTGATGAATGGTGTCATCTTATGATGTTGATGATGACGAGAACGATGATGATGCTACTGCTGCTGGTGGAGGTGGCGGTGATGGCGATGGTTCATGGCGAGGGCGATGTTCAGTGATTGATGCTAGGTCTGACGTGTGTCTGTCAGGTGGGTACGGGGAGCACCAGAGGACTTTGATCGCTGGGCCACGGAATATGGTTGCGAGGGTTGGAGCTTCAAGGACGTGCCTCGACCTGCAGGATTGACTTTTTGTGGACTGCTATACACCTGATCCCTCGGTCTGCGTAGTCAGTGTTTGTCGTGCTGCTCTTGTGGTCTGTTGCGACTACAAATGTGCTCGTTTTCGGTATTGGTGCGTTCAAGATGGGAACCTACCGACGACATCGATATTGACAGTTGAGTTAAGCCAAGTTCAGACCGGTCCTTGTCATCGGCAGCAGTGAGGCCATTGCCACTTGTGAGCATCCATAGGCCACAGCCGCAGCGGCTAACGTCCATGTGACCGGAGCATCTATATCCGTTGCTAAACTTCCCTAACAGGCGGGCAGGTAACCCTAAAGCCTAAAGCCTAAAGCCTAAAGACCCCTGGTCACGAAGAGCTGGTCGGTGAGTTCGGGTCCTCCGCGCCGGGCCGTGCAGTTTGCCGGATGATTCAACCGTATTCATTGCATCGTCAGTCCTCAAACCCCTAGACCCAGACACGAACCGATAAAGTTTGTGCTGAATGACACATTGCCCGCGACAAGGGACCGCTGCGAGGAAAAAGATGAAGAACAGTCATGTGTAATGCTACGCATGATAATATCTGCATCGATGAACAGTAAGACTTGCAATGCTGATACTGCTGCTGCTGCTGCTGCTGCCGCCTCTCCTACTTCTGCTGCAGTGGCTGCTGCTCCTACTACTGCATTAGTAGTAGTGGTGGTAGTGGTAGTGGTAGTGGTAGTGGTAGTGGTAGTGGTAGTGGTAGTAGTAGTAGTAGTAGTAGGAGCAGCAGTAGCAGCGGCTGTTCCAGCAGGGGCTTGCTCTCTTGGTGAGGACACTTAGCTGCATGGTTACTTCGAATGTGAGCTATTGGTACCTAGCAAATCCTTCAAAAGTTTCAGGCAGTTGCCATGTACAAAGCCCTCGCGGATGCTGGATTGCTGCCTGCTGCAGCTTTGAGTGCTACTATGGTGGGTCAAGCAAATGCAGCAGCAGGATCTACAGTGAAGTCGACTGAGAGTACAGCAACAGTAGCAGCAACAGCAGCCCCGAACGAAGCAGAGCCGAAAGAAGCCAAGCCTAGCACTGAGAAGGACACAGCGCCAGCAGCAGCAGCAGTGACCCCAAGCATCAACTCAATGCCCCCACCGGCCGTACCTGCTCTGGTTTTGGATAGCTACTTGGACCGGGTGTATGGTGAATCCCATCGGCGTGAATCCCCGATGTCGAGTGATGGTTCCACGAATTATAACATGATGATGAGCCCAGGCCCAGAGCCACAGACACCATCTACAGCAGCCCCGACTCCTGTGAAGATTCCTGCAGCAGAGGCAGTGCCATCAACCATGAGCCCGACAGCAGCAGCGCCGACAGTCATACCCACAACAGCAATGGCCGTTGACAACACAAGCCCAGCAGCAGCAGTGCCGACAGTCGTACCCGCAACAGTGGTGGCCCTTGACAACACAAGCCCAGCAGCTGTGCCGACAGTTGTACCCACAACAGCAGTGGCCCTTGACAACACAAGCCCAGCAGCAGCAGTGCCGACAGTCGTACCCGCAACAGTGGTGGCCCTTGACAACACAAGCCCAGCAGCTGTCCCGACAGTCGTACCCACAACAGCAGTGGCCCTTGACAACACAAGCCCAGCAGCAGCAGTGCCGACAGTCGTACCCACAACAGCAGTGGCCCTTGACAACACAAGCCCAGCAGCAGCAGCAGTGCCGACAGTCGTACCCACAACAGTGGTGGCCCGTGGCAACACAAGCCCAGCAGCTGTGCCGATGGTCGTACCCGCAACAGCAGTGGCCCAGGACAACACAAGCCCAGCAGCAGCAGTGTCGACAGTCGTACCCGCAACAGCAGTGGCCGTTGACAACACAAGCCCAGCAGCTGTGCCGATGATCGTACCCACAACAGCAGTGGCGCATGACAACACAAGCCCAGCAGCAGCAGTGCCGACAGTCGTACCCACAACAGCAGTGGCCCTTGACAACACAAGCCCAGCAGCAGCAGCAGTGCCGACAGTCGTACCCACAACAGTGGTGGCCCGTGACAACACAAGCCCAGCAGCTGTGCCGATGGTCGTACCCGCAGCAGCAGTGGCCCAGGACAACACAAGCCAGTAGCAGTAGCAGTAGCAGTAGCATTAGCAGAAGCAGTAGC